TAATAATAATAATAATAATAATAATAATAATAATAAATTGCATTTATATAACGCTTTTCAGGACCCCTCAAAGCGCTTTACAATACCACTATTCATTCACTCTCACACTCACTCACTGGTGGAGGCAGCTACAGCTGTAGCCACAGCTGCCCTGGGGCAGACTGACAGTTTGGATTAATCAATTAACCTATCCCCACAGACTGTAGAAATCAATTAATGTTAATAAGCCTTCACCAAACTGTATAATTACCATGGTATCAGACTAAGTTTACAGGTCATCTGCAGATTTTAATACAACTTCTGGAGGCTTACTGCAGATTTTTCTCTTTTCCCCAGCTGTGGCGATTTTTTAGGGAAGTGCGCGCTTTTCCCCGTGGAGGCTCGTCCACACGGCTCTCGACTCACCCGTGCTTGATTGCTCTGCCAGCTGCTTCTAATCAGCCTTCATCTTACCCCAAACTGGTAGCGTTAGCAAACTGAGAGTGTGGGAGATTGTTGGTTAAGAAGTCAGCTAACCGTGTATTTGGTCTCAGGTTCCCCTAGGTAATTTGGACGGAAAGGAGAATCGGGACACACTAGTCGCTCACGGGATTGCACGGATGAAGCAGCACTTGGGAGTTTGAAAAGGAGCACCTTTGGACACTGTAAATAAACACACTGTTCCACTGTTCACCAGAGCTCCGCATTTAGGTTCTTTTTTCCCTGCATCCGAGACACTTTGATTATGCATCTTTTTAGAAATGAAAAATTCCTGACTTCTTTTTAAAATCACTTTCTCAGATGTGTGCTGAGTTTCACTGTACTGTTATGGAAATAATAATAATAAAAAAAAGCAAGCTGCAAACCCTTGGTGAGAGTCTTTGAAGTGGTTTAATCAAATGTTGCAACATTGAGAAAGGTCAAATGGGAAAGTGGTCCCTAACGATGTCTGCCGCCCTCACATCTTAGACAAAGACATTCCACAACTCTTACATGTTGGCCCATGTCACAGGGTGTAAAGCATAAATATACATTTGTGATGCTATTCTACATGCATATAACTATTACTAAAGTGATATTGTTAAAATATGCCATCAATATGTAATAGAGTAATATCCCATCACAGAACTCACTGGCCTGATGAAAACAGCTAACGTAAGGGGGGAAGACAGTATTGGTCAGTAACATTTTTGACCATTATTGTGTCATTTGGAATCTTTGTTTATTTCAGAAACCCCACAACAAATATAGTTTTAAATGTTTAAGTAAAAAAATGCTCTGAGGACATACCAAAGAAAAAAGAGATGCCAGACTTAAATAACCTTGAGCTGTAAGCATGCTAACTTTCTTTAAATATCTCTGAAATATTTGTCTCAGTTTTTAAGATATCACCTTAGCCATTAAATCTCCACGTTCTGTTAATAAACATAGCCAGCTGCATAAATTATCGTGTTTTATTAATCTATGATTTTGCACCATATATTTTCAATGGCAATTATACTATGTTTTGGACAAAGCAGTCAGAGACACCACATCAGAGTGGTTCCTGCTACAATTCTTTGAAGTTTGCTTAACGTCCGGCTGGAGGCTACATCGTTCCCCACTGTCTGACAAATTTTATATCATGTAAACCCAAGCATACCCTACTAAATTCATAGACACAAACTAACACGCCTAGTATGAACTCACATCACATTTAATGTTTGTTTTTTTCTAAATTACCCCTCCCCTTGATTCTCAAGTTGAATAAACGGGTATTTGTCAAGAAATCACACTGATTAAGTGATGAGAATGACTTCAATTGAGACTATTCAGAGGAAAGGTTGACATTTCCACTGACATCTGAGATTGAGCATGAGGACAGGTCTGATGGTGTGGTCTCTGAGACCATAGATGAAAGAACTCAGGCATCTGGGAAGGATGATAATACAAAGATAAATAACAACCCGGATGCGCACAACTATGACACTGTCCACAGTTTTGTAAATAAAGACAAATATTGGGTTATGTATGGTTGAGGAGACACTAAGACCAAGCTGCACCAAATGCAACACCAGTGTCTTACGAGCCTTTTCAGCTGAAGCTTTGTCTGTAGAGGCTGACTGGGCTACTACAGTCACACCAATATAAGAAAAAATGAATGCCCCTGCAGCTAAAACAAACAGAAAATAACTGAAGGCTTTGGCATAGAGATCAGATATTGGATCAAGAGTCAGTTTCTCCTTGTTACAGGAATATTCCATCTGAAGGTGCAGCAGATCCTGGAATCGGACACGTAACATCAGAACAACTTCTATTAAAACATTTAGCAAACTTATTGTCCAAACCACACAAACAGCCAGCGCTGTGTTTCTGACGGTGATGATAGTAGCATGTCTTAGTGGGTAGCACACAGCTACATATCTCTCTAGAGACATCGCCACCAGTGTGAGAGGAGAGATTAAAGTCAATAGAGTGGCAAGTGACACTAGCACACCACATATCGGATACAGCAACGTTATTCTACAAGCAGACAGTAAAAACATGACCTGACTCTGTGCCATCTGTAGAGTATCTGCAAACAGAAGGTTGTAGAGAAGAATGTAACGAGAGGTTTGACCAAACACGGGCTTACTTCTTAGAGTAAACAACATGGTTGCATTAATAAAAAGAAATACACAGCATGTTAGTGTTGTGACAATGCAAGAAAACACTATCTCGAGAAATAGCTGATTCTGCTGCCCGACAGTGATATTTGTCAGAGTTTCATTTGTGAAGAACATGTTAAACAAACATTAAAAACATGTTGAATTAGCACACAGCAAAATTAATGTTTTAGCTTTGAGGGATTTTGATCTTTGGAGCAGAGAAAGAGAAGCCAAAATACTTCCTTGCAGAACTTTAACAGATAATATACTCTTTCCACATGACCTGATCTGCAGTTTTGCCATCTGGTCACGTACTGTTTATGACACCTCATTGACGTTATCTCATGTGATGTCACATCATGTGATGTCACATCATGTGATACTCGTACTGTCAACTGACAGATTTCTACCCCTTTCTTTTTTGTTCTCTTTTCTTCCACAAGTCACCTGTGGGATTGTTACACTACACATATATAAAAATAAAAATATTGGCTAACAAGAGCAGCCAATATTCAGTTTCTAGGGCCCCTTTTGGCAAAGCAAATGTGTTTTTTGCAACACCAGAGCTGCCAGATGGGACCGATTTGAAGCAATCAAACAAGTGAACAATCTCACTGTTAGAACACCCAGAGATTGTGCTGTGAGACTGTTGTAGAAGTTTTGGTTAGTCTGAATCCTTTCGTACTATATCCACTCTGTTCTACTTGGTCTACTACTACTCATTGTTTTGGTAATAGAGCCCAGATGACTCCTGTATATGAGATTCTCTGGACTTTGTCTTCATTTGAAGGACTCACCAGACACTAGTGCAAGGCTCTGGTAGGAGGATACCTGTGTCATGGTCCGGGTGAGTGCTGGGTTTTCCTGCATGCCAGTAAATCCATCACTGGCCAGAGTCACCACACCCCTCGTTTGTGGCACCTGTGTGTAATTTGCTGGGTGGCTCTTAAGACCAGCGTTCTCAAACATTCCTCGCTGTGATACAAATTGTAAACTCAATGTCTGTCCCATACTCTGGAACAGTAGGAGGCAGTAATGCTCCTTTACGTTGGTTGCCAACCGCCGTTAAACAAAGAAGAAGACATTCCTCGCTGGAATGTCAGCTAACCCACGTTAGTGAGAGTCCTAGCTCAGTAAACCCTGTCTACTTGCCTCTGCAGCTTCACAGTGGATTGGATCTTGCTGCCTGTAACCACTCAACTCCCCGTCGCTGGCCTGCTACTATTCTCGACCCTATTCACCTTCGTGTACACAAACTGGTTTAGCCTCACTCGGACCACTAATCCCCTCCTAGCCTCGCCGTCAACCCAGACAAGTAAGACTATGTATTTTGTTGCCACCACTTCTTGGACTGCTGTGTGGGGCACGCATTGACTCTACACTCCTTTCATTACAGTGACTCAGAGAAACCCTGTGACCCTGCACCTTGTATGCCTGCTCCGGAAAATCCCAAATAACGTGCCCAGCCCGATAAATCCTGCTCCTCACATACAAGGTCTTAAATAATCAGGCCCCATCTTATCTTAATGACCTTGTCGTACCAGCCACCTGCTCAACCACCAATTAAACCTCTACTGTCACTAGCTCAGACATCTGATCAGCCATCCGCGGTTTCCACGCTGCCATCTGGCAGCTTCCACTGAGAGATCAGGTGAGCTCATCCTGTAAAGGATTTTGTTTTGCTGCAGCCCAAGAGGCATCCAGTGGTAGCTGTGTGTCCTATGTAGCTCCAGCTAACTTCACCTCAGCCAGAGGTCTCCGCACTTGCTAGGCCCTGCATCACCTTGGGGGCGATCGTGGCTCAAGAGTTGGGCGTTCGTCTTATAATCGGAAGGTTGCCGGTTCGAGCCCCGGCTTGGACAGTCTCGGTCGTTGTGTCCTTGGGCAAGACACTTCACCCGTTGCCTACTGGTGGTGGTCAGAGGGCCCGGTGGCGCCAGTGTCCGGCAGCCTCGCCTCTGTCAGTGCGCCCCAGGGTGGCTGTGGCTGACAATGTAGCTTGCCATCACCAGTGGGAAGTGTGTGATGGTGGATGAATGTGTTTGAATGTCCACCTTCAGGCAGATGTTTCAGGCCATGAAAACAAAACCTAACAGATTAAAGAACACCTTTACACCATGCTGCAACTTAACAGACGATCAGATCCAATATAACTTTAATGCACAATGTTTACAATAACACAGTGTCATGTTTACTTTTTACAACTGCATGTTTACCACAGGGTTTACATTAATACAGGCAAATGGGGTCTAGGACAAAATGGGAAGAATTGTGGGTTGTTTTTTTAATAGACATATTTGTATATAGAAATTTCCCCCTCTGGTGTTCCTGCCAATATATTGAGCCACAGGCTTTCATGTGGTAACTGAGGGAGTAGTGTTATTGATATTGAAGCAGGAGACCTGGAAGAGACCCTTGTGTCAAGGTGAACAGCAGGACTCAAACGCAAGACTCAGAATAGTGCAATTATTTACAGTGAGGCACCAGGTGCTATCTACAACGTTGAAGGGAAAGGGGCTCCAGGGAATCTGGGGAAGAAAAAACACATCCACGCTCCTCTCTTTACAAAGCCAGTCACTCACACATCCCAACTGGCATTCCACACTGACACTTAGTCACAAACAGGAACTTGGAGGAGGTACTTCTAGAAGGAGGTCAGTAGCGCAATTAGCGTTCATGTTGGCAGACCACTCCAGCTTGTGATCCAGTTCGACTCCCACATTCTTATAGGATGTGACTATTTCAACATCAGTCCCACCAATGCAGACAGGGGAGGGTCAGGATTTGTTTAAACCTCTTCTGACAGGGTTCCTGGGTTGTTTACCCAGTATTTTCAGTTCATTCATGTTCAGTGTATTTATCACTTGTTCTCATTTCCTGTTTTTCCTATGCCTGCTGTTCATGTGTCATTAGCCAGATTATGTTCAGCTGTGTACTCACCAGTCTCTCATTATCATCCTCATCAGTCGTGTATTTAAGTCTTCTAGTTTCCACTCGTTCACCGTCGTGTCATTCCGTGTGCTCCGTCATCTGTCCATTCGCCAGTCTTCAGTCAGTCGTGTTTGA